TGACAGTGAAATTCCTAAGGACTCGTTGAAGACCATTCTGTTGGAGTTAGAATGTCACTTTACGTGGAATTTACTCAAGGAAGACATTGATCTGTTTGATGTGGAAGATACAATTGGGCAGCAGCTTGAATTTCTTACCACAAAATCCAGACTTGCTCTTTATAACCTATTGGCCTATGTTAAACATCTAAAGGGCCAAAATAAAGATGCCCTAGAGTGTTTGAAACAAGCAGAAGAAATAATCCAGAGAGAACACTCAGATGAAGAAGAAGTACGAAGTCTGGTCACTTGGGGAAACTATGCCTGGGTGTATTATCACATAGACCAGCTTGAAGAAACTCAGAAGTTTGTGGACAAGGTAGGGAACGTCTGCAAAAAATTGTCCAGTCCTTCTAACTACAAGTTGGAGCGTCCTGAGATTGACTGTGAGAAAGGGTGGGCACTCTTGAAATTTGGAGGAAAGTATTACCAAAAGGCTAAAGCAGCTTTTGAGAAGGCTCTGGAAGTGGAACCTGACAATCCAGAATTTAACATTGGCTATGCCATCACAGTGTATCGGCTGGATGATTCTGACAGAGAAGGGTCTATAAAAAGCTTTTCTCTGGGGCCTCTGAGAAAGGCTGTTACCCTGAACCCAGATAACAGCTATATTAAGGTTTTCCTGGCACTGAAGCTTCAAGATGTACATGCAGAAGCTGAAGGGGAAAAGTATATTGAAGAAATCCTGGACCAAATATCATCCCAACCTTATGTCCTTCGTTATGCAGCCAAATTCTACAGGAGAAAAAATTCTTGGGACAAAGCTCTTGAACTTTTAAAAAAGGCCTTGGAGGTGACACCCACCTCTTCTTTCCTGCATCACCAGATGGGACTTTGCTACAGGGCACAAATGATCCAAATCAAGAAGGCCACACGCAACAGACCTAAAGGAAAGGATAAACTGAAGGTTGATGAGCTTATTACATTCGCTATATTTCATTTCAAGGCAGCAGTAGAACGAGACTCTATGTTTGCATTTGCCTACACAGACCTGGCCAACATGTATGCTGAGGGAGGCCAATATAGCAATGCTGAAGACATTTTCCGGAAAGCCCTTCGTCTGGAGAACATAACTGATGATCACAAACATCAGATCCACTACCACTATGGCCGCTTTCAGGAATTTCACCATAAATCAGAAAATACTGCCATCTATCATTATTTAGAAGCCTTAAAGGTCAAAGACAGGTCATCCCTGCGTTCCAAACTGACAAGTGCTCTAAAGAAATTGGCTACCAAGAGACTTTGTCACAATCCTTTTGATTTGCAAAGTTTAAGTGCCCTAGGGTTTGTTTACAAGCTCGAGGGAGAAAAGAGGCAAGCTGCTGAGTACTATGAGAGGGCCCAAAAGATAGATCCAGAAAATGCAGAATTCCTTTCTGCTCTTTGTGAGCTCCGACTTTCCATTTAAATACATTCTCTAGGAAATTAGCTCTAAGGTTTTCCCTCCATTTTGAGTTCTTAATTTTTGTTTATTGTTTTAATTATTGTTCATTGTAGAACCAATATTTACTGAATGATTATTATGTACCAGCTATCATGCTAAATACTTTATATATATTATGGTGAATCTTTTAATGTTTTCTTTCTTTTTTTCTTTAATTAAAATACTATAATCCGTTGAGAAACAACAACATTCCAACCATTGTAACTTTTGTATGGCCATTATGACTTTATACCCTTTATTTCTGCTATTTATAATAATTTTCTGATTAAATATTGTCAAATTTCACATAGTACTTATACAGTGAATATAATCCTACATAAACCTTTGATACCTAGGTCAGAAACACTTTCAGGAATGTAAAATTAAATTAGTTAAGCTCTTAACTTTGTTACTTGCAAAAGATAGAACCTTCTAGGTACAAATATTTTGACTTTGATGAGGATATTAAACTGTCAACCTGATAGTCACCTAAAGAATCTTTGTTGAAGAAACAGCTTAGAATAATAAAAGTTTGTCATCTCTTGTGACTTCAATAAAAGGAGAGAAAACTAGAACAGGAGATAAATGATTTCCTCAAATTTTAAGTAATATAGAACTTCAGGAATCCATGAGCTATCAGAAGTATCATCTTCCAAAACATTCATTAAGTAGCTAGAAATAATTATGAGAAAAAAATGAGTAATGGAAAATCATTAACCTCAAGTTTCTCTACTTTTTTTTAACTAAAAAGATAATCCTATACTGAATCCAGATGGAAGTAATTTTATTTCTTCCAGTTAAAATTGCAGTATTTTTACGTTAAAATTATTAAGACAGAAAGCAGACCAATAGAGAAATTGGGAGAGATGATAAACAAATAGATAAAGTAGATGTCCCTAACTTATATCCCTAGATTACCAAGATTTCAGTGTATTAGTTTTGGGTCTGGACTGGGTAGGGTTCTCACACCCCCAATTTGTGGCCTTTGGCTAATTGTTTTAGTATTCCAAAGTGACTTCTGGGAAGCTTTTTTTTGTTTTTGGCTGACATTTTCAGATTGTCATTTTTTCCTGTAGGTCCTCTAGGAATAGTTAAGCCCTGCTTTTAGATTTAATATTCACCTTGAGGAGCCAATGTTTGAGGGCTGTTATCCCAGGTGACTTTTTATTTTTTTTTTTCCTTTTTTGTCTTTTTTCCTTTTTGTCTTTGTTATCCCAGGTGACTTTTTATTTTTTTTTTCCTTTTTGTCTTTTTTACTGACCGGTAACAGGATCGCAACCCTCGGTGTCACGCCTGCACCGGGGACCGGCAACGGGACCGCAACCCTCGGTGTTGCACCCGCACCGTGCTCAGCCAGTGAGTGGGAACCGGTCTCCACATGGGATCCGAACCCTCGGCAGGAGTACCACCGCGCTCCCAAGCGGCGCACTCTCCAGTGCGCCACCGGGCCGGCCCACAGGTGACTTTTTAAATTGGGGTGTTGCTAAATGCAGCTTCTCTAATGTTGTTTCTTTGATTATAGACTACACAGTTATATACTACCACCATATCAGTGGAAAAATGTGCTATGTGATTTAACTCTATTCCCCCAATGTAGCTCTTAAAATTATTCTGTATGTGTATGTGTTTTACTTTTTGTTACTATTTTTATTTTTTTAATTTCTGTTATAGTTTTGATTATTACAAAAGTAATGAATTTTCACTAAAATTTTAAACAATGCTGAAGTATATGAATTTAAAAGTAAGAGTATTCTCCTTACCCTACCCTAATTCCATACCCCCAAGGTAAACTGTTAACAATTTGATAATGTATCCATCCAGATCTTTTTTCTATGCATATTCAAACATACATATGTACTGCAATGTATCTCATAAATTAAATTTTTAAATGTTTTGTTTTACTTAAGTCTCTCTTCTTTTTATTTCACTTGTTTAATCTGTTTAAGAAGGAAAAACAAGGAAAGGAATGGTTTTTATTCAAAAATTTCAGAAAGTAAAAACTGAAGTCCTGACCTGTCAGTAGATTTTGCCCCTTTCAGATATTAGGATTTTTACCTAGCAAGGCAGGTCATTTCTCCCATAGGGAATAATGTTGTAATTAAGGTAATGTTCCCAAGTAGGGACTTAACACACAATAAAATACAGTTATAATATCAAAATAAACATAAAACTATAAGCCTCTATATTTAAAATAATATTAGCTTTTAAGGTGTATGACATGACTTTAAAATTCAGTAGCTACTAAAATATTGAAATATATAAGAAGTTATACTAAGGAAGTAAATCAGCATATTTGATAGAAAACAATTCTATCAAACTGAACAGAAATGAATACGTTTATAATAATTTTAAAGTGCTTTTCCTCCTAAAATGTATAACTATTTACAGATATTTCATAGAGTCTTGAGATCGAAAAATACCTGAGGTTTGCGTTTATCAATTAACCATCAGAACTTTAAGCTAGAATTATCTTCCTAAATATATAATTTCATCTTTAGGTAGCCCTATTCTTAGAAGTTTATTCTTTTCATTTAACTGAAGTCTTTTGACCTGTAGTTTACACATTTGGTCTGTCTTCAGAGACCTCAAAGATGTAATCTTTTTAAAGGTGATATCCTGTATCAGAACTCTGACTGCAAATGACAAAAAACGCAGCTCCAACTGACCTAAGCAAAAATAGGAATGCAATGGCTGATGTAATTTAACAGTCCAGGGATAGTACTAGTTTCGGATGAATTTGAAGGGATGGGTGGGTCATCAAATATGAGGATATTTCAAAAAGTTCATGGAAAAATAGAATTAAAAGATAGTGTGAATCTTTCCATGAACTTTTTGAAGACCCCTCATATACATCAGGAGCTACTACTACAAATCAGGAGTATCGCGGGAGCCCCAAATCTGAAAGGGCACTCGCATAGTGTTCGCTTATTCCAGAGAAACTTACCCAATATTACAGTAGGTAGAGACAGGTTTATTAGACTTACAGGAGGTGCTGATGGTGGCAGATCAGCTAGAAATCCACACCGCCACAGGGTACATAAAACAGTTATATAGTGAACAGATCAAAGTAGAGGTGTAAATCATGTGCATGCTTATGTGCCCTTCACCCAACTCAGAGCTCGAAGAGATCTGGCCAAGTAGATAAGTTAACCCCTCCTGTCACTAGAATAGGTAACACCAGTGTTCTAAATCCATTTACATACTAATTCATTTACCCAGGGCTCCTGCTTCCTGCTGTCTTCCATTTGTCTTAAAGAAGTCATGCTTTACCTTAGGTGAACTACCTTGGCGAGGGCTAGTTTCCCCAGGGGAGGGGGAACTCTGGCATGAACAGGGAGGGTGGATACCTTACAACAGGTGATGCTGAACAGCCAAAAACCAAATGTCTACTACCATGCTGTAACATATTTGAAGTTGTGTCTTGTGTCCCCTGAGGCTTCTTTAAGTTAATCATTGCATTATCTTTCACCCTACCTCCATAAGACATATTCAAGTCTCCTCCAGATCATGGTCAATATGAATCCTCTCCAAGGCTGGCCAGTTAGCTCAGTTGGTTAGAGTGTGGTGTTGTAAACACCAAGGTCAGGTGTTTGAATCCCTGTACTGGCCAGCCACCAAAATACATATAAATATATGAATCCTCTCTAAATTGTCTTTATCATTTGCTAATGGTTTGTGCTCAGAGTTTAATGCAATACCCAAAGTGAGGTTTTAGGACTATGGTAGGATGATCCTGTCTTTGTTCTATTAATGTAGCCAAAATCAAAATATTCACTTAGTACCTATTCTCATGTATAGATTTTCCTACATATGTCATTTTAAGGCATGTTTTTCACATCCTGTACCTGAGCAGTTGGCTTTTTCAAAATGTTCTGTGTCACTTGGTTGCATTCAGCACCTCAATTCTGATGTCCATACCTCTTTTAAAAGTTCTTTAGGAAAAGGCTTGTTTATAAGATGCTATTCATCACTCAAAATAGAACAGATACCAGAAAACAACTTAAACTAGCTTTAAAACAGTAACAGGAAAAAGTAAATCCTATTTTCAAGCAAGACTTGATACTGCAGTTTAAGCAGTGTGATCAAGACACAATTGCTCTCTCCACTTCAAAGCTCTGAATTATCCAGTCTGGCTCTATTCTGTGAAAGCTCTTACTTTGCGATCCTAAAATGGCTGCCACATGCTTTCTTGTTCCTATCCAGTGGAAAAGAGCTTATCCCCTCCCACACCATCTGGAAAGTCCAGGTCTGCAGTCTTTTTTCTTTTCTTTTTTTTTTTTTTTTCTGGCAGCTGGCCTGGATGAGAATCTGAACCCTTGACCTTGATGTGCAGTCTGATTCAGCCATCTCAGGTAACATGCCTGTTCTCAAATCAGACATTCATGGTCTGGGGGGAAGGAAAGTTTCATGCTCAATAGTTAGGTCTGAGCTGCACCATTGGCACTGAAAGCCAAGAATGGGAAGCAAGTTGACTTCCCTAGAAAAACATGGACTGCAAGGTACATGGGTGAGATTATCAAGAAAATTGGTATTGAATACTGGCACCCCAAAAGCACCAAGAGGATGTAAATTCTAATCAATGCCTTTTTCCTCCCTCCATACATTTCTCTGTCATAAGTAACGTACTTCAAAAAGGAGCTGGAGTCATTCTTAACACTGAAGCTTCCAGTAAGCTTCTTCTGTTGAGATTTCAGGTATTCCATCTCCCCTGTCTGGTTCTCTTATTTCTCTTCTTTATTCCTTCAGCTCACTTTTACAACTCAGCATCATAGAGGATAGACAGGTAGGACCTACTAGATTTACAGAAGGTGGAGCAAGGGAAGAAGTTATACTTACCTTGTAGCAACTGCCCACCAACTGTGATTCAGACAACTTCAAAAAAATGGGTGGAACCACCAGAGGCATTTTGGCCTGTGAATGTGAGTCTGAAGTACTAAAGATGGCCCCGTTGACTGAAATAATGACCTATATTGTAAAGCTGAGTCACCCCTGGGAAAGCCAAAGTAACCTTATCCACCAGCGTCTGTGAAAAGGACTAGTGCAAATTCAAGCGACAAAGGTGGATGATAAAAGTGGGCATGGATGACCTGGGCATCAAAGAGCTAAAACGATTACCCATATGATGATATATATATATATATATATATATTCTGTGATGGCAAAGGCCCATTCTGATACTATCATAGGGTGAGAAAAAAATTGCTTTGCATTTTGCATTCACTATGCTAGGCACTTTGATAGGTTGACCTTATTTAACTATTTCAACATTACAAATGAATAGAGCAAGGTTGAGAGAGGTTAAGTAACATTCTCAAAATCACAGAGCTACTAAGTGGTAGCCCTAGGATTTAAAAACAGATCTGACCTAATTTACAGTTCATTCTCTCTCCATTGTATCAGTGGTTCACAAATCTAACCCTAAATCAGAATCTCTAGGGATGTGGCCTAGAAAGGTATATATTTGCAAAGCACCCTCTGGTGCTTATAACAAAATACCTGGAACTGGGTGATTTATAAAGAAAAATGAAATTTATTGCTTATAGTTTCTGAGGCTAGGAAGTCCAAAGTCCATCTGGTGGTGGTGACAGTGACCCAGGGGTCTCACATTGCAAGATGGTGGAAGCAGAGAGAGCAGAGAGAAAGACAGACACTCCTCTCTCTTCTTATAAAGCCTTCAGAACCATGCCTCTGACCACCATTTTTAATCCATTCACTATAGCATGGCCCTATAATCCAATCACCTCTTCAAGGCTCCACCTTTCAATTACCATGATAGGCTTTCCCACCCTCTTATCAGTCACAGTGGGGACCAAGTTTCTGATACATAAAACACAAGGGACACAATTCAAGCTTCAGTGAGTTTGGGGGGGGGAGCATAATTCAATCCACTACAGTGCCCAAAGTGATTCTGAGGATCAGCCAGGTAAGGAAATGACTATAATAGCCTATAAAACCTTTGGTGTGGTGGCCTTGCCTGTTCTACTTGTACACTCCATCTGTAACTGAAAATCTTAAGAGAAACTACATATGCTAAATGAAAGTTAATGGTCCAGATTTAGACACAAAGAACTCTCACCCTGTTATGGGGAAGCTCTCTGAATGAAAAGGTTGGGAGAAATAACAGTCGCTTTCTTCTTTTACTTTAAAGTATATAACTCCAACACTTGCCACATAATTCAGAAAACTCACATTCATGGGCCAGCGAATCATAGAAAAGTTTATTTGCTTCATCAATTAATTTATTTTTAGAAATAAGCAGAAAAGAGTTGTGCTCATACACAGATCAAATCTTTGGGAAACATCATCTGCCACAGCACTTCTCAAACTTTAATGTGCATGCAAATCACTTGGGAATCTCATTAAAATGCACATAAGATTGCTCCTGAAACTTGGCTGTCTGCACACTGGAATCACCTGAGAAGTTAAAAAAAAACAAAACACTGATGTCTGGGTCCCACCTCCAGAGAATGACTTAATTAGCATGGGGTGCAGCCCAGGCATCATACTTTTTAAGTTTTCCAGGTAATACTATTGTGCAGCAAAGTTTGACAGCCACTGATCTACCATGTGAAAAGTATAAACAAAATATAATTAATTAGACTATTAGCCTAATAAGAGATCCTAAGTTTCTTGAGTATCTAGTTTGTTTTTGAATCCCTCACCATGTACTGGGTATATTAGGTCTAATAAAAGTTGCCTGAATTGAATTGCATAGCATAAAGCTCCCACCTCTGAAAACTGCCCTTACCAGTTGACACAAAGCCTCTACATGGGTCCAAATCCTATTAGTTAGATAAATTCATCCGTCAAGCCTGATAAAATCCTATGATGCCAGGCCCAAGTTCTTTTCCTTGCCTGTTAGACAAACCTAAACATATACCCAGGGAAGTGGCTGTGATTGCCCTTCAGAGTAATTTGACCCTTCATGAAAAGATACCCCTTGTGAAGGTGCTCTTGGAAACTATTTTATCACTAAAGCTATGCTCCTAATCTCACAAAAACTAAGAAAAGCCCTTTCAACAAATGATAAATCAGCTGGCAGGGAAACTGGATTCAGAGTAATGGAATTCTTAAAGATATTTTCTGCCCTTTCTGGCTGCAGACGTTTGTCTTAGCAGTTGATCACATGCTAGCAGCCAAAGTTTCAAAGACAATACTAGTATAAGCAGTCACTATTCCCTTCCAGATTGAGTCCAAGATGCAAATTACCTCAGTTCAAGAATAACCTTATAGACCCACAGAACTTTAGAACCAAGAGGACCCTGAGAAAATGCCTGCTCCAACCACATTTACTGATGTGAAAATTGAGACCCAGACTGATGATGTGACTTAAAATTTCACATCTAATTTGTAGACTATAATTTCTTCTCCTGGCTCCTGGTCCATTAGCACTATTCCCTATTTGACAGAGTTTCTAACCATAATCAATAACATTTGTTACACCAGGTTAAACCTTAATTGACAGAGTTTATCTGGTAATGATATAACTATGCCTATATGACATCAACCACAACACAGGCAGGCCAAGGATAGTTCTTTAAAGGAATATGTTTAGCGTTAGATTAAAGAACATGACAGAAATATAAAATAAATTAAAATTTGGCATGCTTTTGTATAACTGGTGAATAGGAAATGAGAAACCATTTGGCCTTGGCAATTAGAATAGTCTCTTTTGGAGTAACACCATTGTAACCCTGTTGTGGTAGCCATGAGAAGCACCTCCCAGATCTCCAGCTACAGGGATTATAATTGACTAAGGGTGCTATCTGCTACACACTGAAATCCATCACTGCATTTGCACTGAGGCCATGCTTCCCAGCATGGCAGGGATATTAAGTCAGGGCCTTTCCTGGGAGATGCAGAACTCTGACAGGCAACTCGGGCTCAAGAACACCCCACCAGCCTTGCCAAATTTTCCTTAAAATTATGCTGTAATCTAATATGCTTCCAACAACATTTTTTCCTTCTGCCTTTCCTACATTCGGAGACCTGCATTCACACCTGCACCACAACAGTCAGATGGCTCTCCTAGCCTCTCTCTGCTCGCAGCTCATATTCTCTCACAGGTGTTTCCCCTAATAAATTTCTTGCATGTTCAGTCCTATCTTGGATCAAACTGACACTCCTAGTGAAAGAAATTCAATTAGAGGGCTGTGGGGTAAATCATGTTTACATAACATAAATTCCATTTATTATTTTTCAACTTTTGGGGTCAGTAATTGTGATTAAAGAACGGAACATAAATCTTTCCAACCATGATTTTTTTTTTTTTGCTACTGGCTGATAAGGGGATCCAACCCTTGACCAGTGTTATCAGTGCCATGCTCCACCAATTAAGCCAATCTTGATAATACTTGAGTTGGAAAAGAGAAGGCAAAGAGGAGGTAGGGGGAGAATAGAGGCCAAAATACCTCATCTTACAAAAAGAGAAGGTAAGAGACACAGTTAGAATTTGATGGAATAAGAATTAAGTTTTAAGTATGTTATTGTAAATTATAAAACTAATCGATAAAGTAAGAATTGAGTTCTGTCAAAACGTGGAAAGAATTGGGATGGGATAAATTCAATGATCAAATCCTAGCTTAATATAGCAGGAAATCAATAAAGATG